CCCTCATGGAGCGCACAAACGTCCGACCATAGAGCATGGGCGTCTTTGTGGTTCCTTACACGATTGAACACATCTTTGCAAAGGCCTCTAAAGATGGTGTTGTGAGCCTTTGCATTCCATTTTTCATAGTTTACTTCATCGCCTTGGAGTTGTGCGGCATTCTTAGGTGTTGGGAACCCTTGAGAGGCGGCTCTAAGAATTCCAACATCTAGAGCTTCTAGGTAAGCCTCCATGCGAATTTTCCAATATGAAAAATCATCCCCCTCGAAGATAGGAGGAGGTCCATCCCCGTGAGACATCTTGCTCTAAGCGGTTAGGCTTAAAAACATGAGCACGAGGCTCTGATACCAATTGAAAGGATCAAGATGCCCAAGAGGGGGGGTGAATTGGGCTAATTCTAAATTTTCTTGCAATAATCAAATCCTATGGATAGCCCAATTAACCCCTTGTGCCTAGAAAAGTATTTATGTCAAACTAATGCACAACAATCTCGCAACCTATGTTCCAAACTTACTCTAGCAAGCAATTCTATGGATGTGAAACAAGTATTGAATTACTCAAAGTAAATACTCAAAGTAAGTGCTCAAAGTAAATAGAGAGAGAAAGGAACGCGGCGATGTTTTGCTGAGGTATCGGAGAGTCGCCACTCCCCACTAGTCCTCGTTGGAGCACCCGCGCAAGGGTGTAGCTCCCCCTTGATCCGCGCAAGGATCAAGTGCTCTCTACGGGTTGATTCTTCGACACTCCGTCGCGGCGAATCACCCAATACCGCTCACAACTTGAGTTGGGTCACCCACAAGCTCCGCCGGGTGATCACCAAGCTCCCAATCACCACCAAGCCGTCTAGGTGATGGCGATCACCAAGAGTAACAAGCACGAACTCTCACTTGACCACGCGAATCCTAATGAGAAGATGGATGCACACTTGTCTACTCTTGATTCACTAATGAGGTTTCACTCTTGGATTCTCAAATCACAAACACCTCACTAGGACCTTGCACTTCTTGGCACTCACAAACGTGTTTCTCAACTGTTGGAATGAGCAAAAGTAACTCCACACTCGAGTGGAGCTTCTATTTATAAGGCAGCCTAAAAAACGAACCGTTATGAGCTTCTACGGGATGATCGGACGCTTCGATCATATTGACCGGACGCTCCGGTCAGTTCAACCCGCGCAACAGTTTCCAAGTGATGATCGGACGCTGACAGGGTCCAGTCAGCACTGACCGGACGCGTCCGGTCGATCTTGGATGCTTACTGTAAACGACCGGACGCTGGATACACAGGGTCCGGTCACCACTGACCGGACGCGTCCGGTCACACTTTCTCAAGTCTGGACCCTTACTGGAGTCGACCGGACGCTGGCCTTCAGCGTCCGATCACACGACCTTCCAGCGTCCGGTCACTCCAGACTTGTTCTCCTCAGTCAAATGAACTGACCGGACCCTACGGCCAGCGTCCGGTCGCACCGGAGCCAGCGTCCGGTCAGTATTTGACCCTCCATTCACTTCCAACTTTCGATCATATGTGAATGAAGTTAGCTCCAAAGGATCTTAGGCATTCATAGGAGCTACCTAGAGCTAGTTTTAACAAGTGTGCACCACACCTAACTCACTAGACTCAACTAGGTCAAGCTACCCGTTCATACCCCCCTTCATAGTACAGCCAAAGGAAAAACAAAGTCCTAAACTACTCTAAGTGTCTCTCCAACTTCAATTGACACTTAGAACTAGTTATCCTTAACCTTGTCGTCCATCCTTTGAAAACCGAAACGATTTCCATCGTAGGGGCATGACACCTTCAATTGCCCAATCGATCTCCATTACCATGACCTAACTTAATTGCCTCTGCAAAACACACGTTAGTCATAGTAATCTTGTATTGACATTAATCACCGAAATCCACTTAGGGGCCTAGATGCTTTCAGCTACCATTATCTTCCTAGAGCAGCGCGGCAATCGCATAAATTTACTAGTCCGGTTTACAAAACATCGATAAATACACAAGGAAATAATACAATTGTTTGTAGCTTTCATGTGATTCTAGACACGTGTTTGAAATTTTGGGTCTTTTTTTTGTTTAAGCCATCTATCCGCTTCACTTGTAGTCATTTATCATTCAATTAGTGAAGCATAAACTCACTCATTTGATTTCAAATTAGCATATTTCTTCCTTTAGAAAGGAAGCCCTTTTCCATTTTAACAAAATTCTTTCTATTTCAACTGCTCAAGGTATTCATCTTTCTAGTACAACTATTGTAGTAGAATGACATCAGACTCGTGTACAAGGAACTAGACTAGGTTCGTGCCCGTGCATTGCTACGGGACAGCTAAACTTTTATACTAAAAACACATGGATCGCATGCTAAGATAACAACACTGTTCAAACGACATGTTAACTGGTTGGTTTCTGGGCTGATAAGCCCGGCTGGTGCTGGTGCTGGTTTGTTATGAGAGAAAAACACTGTTAGCTGGCTGATAAGCCCTGGCTGAAACAAATGAGCGAACGGGCTGAAAGGGAATAGGATTTAAATAACCTGTGATCGTCATGTGCTTCCAAGTTAAAAGGGTTTAATGATTTTGCTGCTGCTCACACCAGGGCTGCCTACGTAGGCCTAGACGGGGATGGATGAGATGCAAGTAGGAAATACATTAGGGGATTGATTGGCTCACAGCTAGATACTAGGGAGGGTGGCGCAAAGCAGCGACGTCACTTGGGAGGGTGCGGCGCCATGGAGACTCGAGCGGGCAGCGTCGTCAAGACTCCGCGCCTTCTTCTCGTATCAGATCGGCCTTATCTGTAGGCGCAGCGTCGTCAAGACTCAAGACACTGCGCGGGGCGTGGTTCGTCATGGACCGAGATGCAGCAGAGGAGCACATAAGGGAAGCCTCCAGCTACGCGAGGCAGTGCGTGTTCCTAGGCGACGTACGCGAAGCAACACATGGGAAGAAGGGGGAGCGAGAGAAAAAAGGAAGGGCCGCATGAGGAAGGGAGCAGGCGCCGCGATCAACGTGGTGCGCAGCGTTGTTTCCTACTTCAATGCCGCGGGGAGGAACAACGCCACAGGGATGAAGTCCCACCTGTCGGCATGAGCGGCAGGGGAACGTAGGGAAAGACAGACCGACGGAATGCCGGCAGGGGAACGTAGGGAAAGACAGACCGACGGAAGGATCTCGATGCACGTGAGTAACGCAGGAACATTGGATGGGATGGGATGGGATGGGATTGGGAGGGAATTGATTTTTGCCTTCCTGATTTGCCGCGGCTGATATGGGGACTGAGCTGATCGTATGGAGCGAGTACGCATTGCCTTCCTCATCTGATCGCATGGAGCGGCTTTGGCGTCGCACCTATGAACGGAATAGTTATGAATATTTTAGTTGTAGAGATTAGCTTAGCTACCTATCTAATTTATTGTAGAAATTCTGGGGTCCGCGATTGGACATGGAAAATATAAATTTTTTTCTTGGTTAAAGGAATGGTTTCGATTGATTTCTATATCGATCATGATATACGTAATAACTTGCGCATCTATTTCAAATGCATATCCCATTTTTGGCGCAACAGAGTTATGAAAACCCGCGGGAAGCAGCTGGACGAATTGTATGTGCCAATTGCCATTTAGCTAATAAGTCTGTGGATATTGAAGTTCCCCAAGCAGTCCTTGCTCATACTGTATTTGAAGTAGTTTTTTCGAATTCCTTATGATATGCAGCGAAACAAGTTCTTGCTAATGGTAAAAAGGGAGGGTTGAATTGGGTGCTGTTCTTATTTTGCCCAAGGGATTCAAATTAGCGCCGTCAGACCTTATTTCTCCTAACTTGAAAAAAAAGATAGAAAATCTCTCTTTCAGAGTTATTGTTCCAATAAAAAAATATTCCTGTGATAGGCCCTGTTCCGGTAAGAAATAAAGTAAAATTGTCTTTCTCATTCTTTCCCCTGATCCTGCTAGAAAAAAGATGTGCGCTGCGCGTGTGACGACGCTAGGAGCTGTGCGTGTGCGTGACCGACGTGCTCGTTTAATGATGCACGTAACGGCGCTGGGAGCTGTGCGTGTGCGTGACCAACACGCTCGTTTAATGACGCTGTGAGCTATGCGTGCGTCCGTGACCGACGCGCTCGTTTAGTGACAAAGGTTCGGCAAACGAAAGATCAAGGGCAATTTCGTCCAAAAAATGTTTAAAAATGCAAAACGACTTGAATTGTGAACACCAGACTCACCCTCTAAAATGTCGGTGCAGCGAGGAGCTGTGCGATGTTTGTGCGTGACCGACCCTAGGAGCTTTACGTGCATGCGTGACCAACGCGCTCGTTTAACGACAGAGTTTTGAGAAACGAAAGATCAAGGGCAAGTTTGTCTAAAAACTGTTAAAACATGCAAAACCACTTGAATTATGAACACCAGACTCACCCTTGAATTTTGAGCATTGAGGGAGCATGCATTATTATGTACGTACAAGTGCCCAGGGAGAAGAGAACAGTGGTCTCACATAAAAAATAATATAGGAGTGCTCCAGTACGATGATACGATATTTTTGTTTCCGTTAGTTACGCGCCGACCGAGCCGAGCAGACAAAAATATCAGTCGGCACGGCGGTGAGCCGTGTCCGTGTACCCGGCTTGGACCCCTTGTTGGTGGCGTGGTCCATGGACCTGGCGCACGCACGCACTGACGCCCCATCCCCCACCCCTCGGGCCCCGCGCATGGATAACTCGTGGGCGGGGCCCACACCCGCCCCCATCCGCCCGCAGATATTTGTACCCGCCGCGCCGGCTCCGCGGCCCCGGCCTCGGGCTTGGCGTGCAAGAAAACTAGAAAAGGAGCAGACCAACACTGATGCCCCGATTAGATTAACCCACTCTCTCCTTTCCTCTCTCGTTCTCATCCGTCCAGGCGAAGCCAACGGGCAAAAGGAAACGGGCGAGGAGCTGGAGAGACGCCGGCGACGCGAAGCAACCGCCGATCGGAGCCGCGGCTGATCAGGAGGATGAAGGCCGAGATGGTGGGTCTCGTCGGCGGCAGCACGGTGCGGGCGGAGCACGTCGTGGCCAACGCCGGAGGGGAGACGGAGTACGTGCGCCGCCTGCACCGCCACGCGCCCGCCGAGCACCAGTGCACCTCCACCCTCGTCAAGCACATCAAGGCGCCCGTCCACCTCGTAAGCTCCCATCCATCCCCTGCTCTCGCGCCCCGTTCTTGCCGTCTCCCGGCTCGGTCGGTCCCGGTGGTGGGTGGTTCAGTGGTTGGATTTGACGCTGCAGGTACCGGGCTAGTACTTGGGATTGTTTCGCCTCGCGTCTGGGCTGCTATTTCTCTCGGATCTGGAGTCCCTCGTCCGATTCCTCATGCCTTGTTGGGTGTTTCTTCCCCGATCGATGCGTTCTCGTGATGTCGCGTGAATTGCTGGCGTCGGTCAAATCAATCGCGCCGCCCGATTGGAAGCTGATGCCATCGATGATCGCATCGCAGGTGTGGGAGCTGGTGCGAAGCTTCGACCAGCCGCAGCGGTATAAGCCGTTCGTCAGAAACTGCGTCGTGCGCGGGGACCAGCTCGAGGTCGGCAGCCTGCGCGACGTCAACGTCAAGAGCGGCCTGCCGGCGACAACCAGCACCGAGCGCCTCGAGCAGCTCGACGACGACCTGCACATACTCGGCGTCAAGTTCGTCGGCGGGGACCACCGCCTCCAGGTGAGTGCTGCTGCTCCGTTTGTTGCTTCCCTGCACATGCTCTGTTTCATGAGCCCTGCTTGCTTGTCAGTGTACTCCCATTTTTTAGTATGCTTGCTTTGTTACCATTTTTCTTCGTTAAATTAAATTGTGCTTTCTTGTTACCATTTCACTAAAATCGTGATCGCTGGATGCTAATGAATGAAATGCATTTGCTATGCTTGCGGGATTGGGAATTTTTCTTCTTTGTGACAGATAACATCATGGTCCTGTTTGGAAGCTGGAATTGGGAATCAAATTCTTATGATTTATTAGGAGTATCCAGTTTGAACTTAATCATGGTAGCCATCTGTTGAAATGAAAGCGATTAGCTTCTCGTGAGGCACTCATCATCTAAAACGAGATAAGCCATTGGCCTAAATACCTTGCTTCTCGTGATTGTTTGCCACCCTGAAAGGATATGCTCACAACCCGTACTCTTTTGACTTCTTATCCACATACGGAGTACTATTTAGTACGAAAGGACATGTCTTAGAGACTGTTACTACTTCATTCGTTGTTCTTCGTCTAGTCTTCCGATTGATAATATAAGGTGTAAAACTTTGATGTTTCGTGTGCTGTCAAGTGATTGTGAAGGAAAGTTTATGTTTGTGTACAATGCCTACAGTGGCCATCTTTGCTCCTACTTGAAGCATATCTTTGATCCACACTGATGATGAGTTGTGTTTGCCACTTTTTCAGAACTACTCATCCATCATAACTGTCCACCCGGAGAGCATTGACGGGAGGCCAGGTACCCTTGTGATCGAGTCGTTCGTGGTTGATGTGCCTGACGGCAACACAAAGGATGAGACATGCTACTTCGTCGAGGCTGTGATCAAGTGCAACCTCAAGTCTCTCGCAGAGGTATCCGTGCAGCTAGCAGTTGATCCACCTACATCGCTGATCGATCAGTGAGTGACCTGCATCGCCGATCCATCAGTAACACCAGTCCAAAGGTGAGAATCGGCAACAAATAAGAAGCTTCAAAGGCTGGCTGGAGAGTTCAACCTTTTTGAGACTGGTGGTTTCGCCATCGTCTTCTGCGTGTATGTCTCTTGGAATATGGAAGGATTAGTGGTATGTAGGATTAAATATCTGTAGTAGCTTGTATGTTAGGGATGATTTAGCCGTAGGAACTGCACCAGTGCACCTACATACCTCATGGCATGTATGCATACTGCTAGTATGTGTAGAAATCAGGGAAAGCATGGAGCGGTTTTTGCCACTTTGGTGCATGGAGATCTATCTTTTTTCTTCCCCATTTTGCGGTGGCTACTATATTGGTTGGGGTTCTTCGATAAATATACTTTCCCGCTGACACTGGGGTCTGGATTTTGGATTTGGTTTAATTCTCGTAATGTGCCGTACTGTTTTCTCCAATGTTATTGGGATTTGGGATTTGAACTGGATAGTGGATAGTGTCTGATTTAATTTGGTTTTGTCGACAGCAAAATAAGATCCGCGAGACAGATTTGAACCAAAGCAATCAAAATTCGCACCAAATTAGATGCAAATTGACAAATATGGACAAACTTAGGAAAAAACCGGCCTAGTCTGTAACACCCTGGTGTTAAGCATGCATTTGGCATTGGCATTTCATGAGCACAAGCATTTATGAGCATGAGCATGTCAAATTCTATCTTCACTACCATGTTTATATCACTTGTGATGTCCCTTAAATTTATACCTAGGCTAGGGTTTACATGTGATTAATGTGTGAAATGCTTGTGGGACTCTAGAAGTACCTTAAACATGTTTAGAATGTCACATGGAACAACTTTGGTATTCATGACTTTGACCAATTTAGCCTCTAAGTCATGATTATAGTGTAAGCTACCATTTTCAAGTTGTATGTTTGACCTAAGTTAAACTATACCCTAGAGACTTTGCATGGCTGTGCACCCTAAAGCAAAGTTGTAGAACTCAACTAGGGTAACAAATTTATTTTTGGGTCATGGTCTAATTCAGCTCCTAACTTGCTCTAAAACAGTGCATAAGTAGCAAGAAAATACTGTTCCAGCACTTTGAAAAATTTCTTAGTCTGGGAGTGATTTACAGTTTCAATGTACCCGTGTTTGACGCACTGTAGTTTGTTAACTTGGCCGATCCAGACCAAACTCATGTAAGCAAAGTTGGAGTACTCATGAAGCTTTACAAGTTTGATTATTACGATTTTCGCTGAATCACGTTGGTTTGAGAGATAGAGAGTGAGGAAGGAGGCGGTTTCAGTCGAACTGAAATGGCTCATGCCGATTCAGATCGGGCCGGTGGTGGCCGACCGTCATCAGGCCGCGCTCGCCATCTGGCGGCCGTATGCCGGCATGGGCCCCACTAGTCTGGCCGGGGAGGGCTTCAACACTGCCACGACGCGCCTGTATGCTCTCTCTCTCTCTCTCGCTCATTTCCTCTCCCTCGCTTGCTCTCGCATCCACAAAGGCAACGCCGAGCTCGCCATTGCCGCCGTCAGCTGAAAGCTCTAGTTTGGTTTTGGTAAATTGATGAAACCCTAAGTGCTAACCTAGTTTATCAAAATGATTACGAGATAGGTAGCACTACTACAAGTGGTGAAGCAAATGAAAATCATGACTTGATGATGGTGATACCATGGTGATAATCAAGTGCTTGGACTTGGAAAAGAAGTAAGAGAAAAAACAAAAAAGCTCAAGACAAAGGTGAAATTGTTAGGAGCTTTTTGGTTTAGTGATCGAGACACTTAGAGAGTGTGATCACATTTAGGATCGATAGCCGTACTATTAAGAGGGGTGAAACTCGTATCGAAATACGGTTATCAAAGTGCCACTAGATGCTCTAACTCATTGCATATGCATTTAGGATCTAGTGGAAAGCTAACACCCTTGAAAATGTTTGTGAAAATATGCTAACACATGCACAAAGGTGATACACATTGTGTTTAGCACTTGGGAGCAAGGGTTCGAAACTTTACCGGCGGAGTGTACAGAAAAGACAGGGTTTCACAGAGTGCACCGGACGTTGTCCTCGTCGGACCGGACGCGTCCGGTGGCTAAACCTAGGCGTCGGTCAGTCAGCAGAGATCGACCGGACTCTAAGCGAGTCCGGTCATGACATGACTCTGGAGAGCAGCGTCTGGTCAATTATAAAAGTAAGGGGTACTCTCGGCCTGTGACCGGACTCTGGCTGAACATTGTTCAGCGTCCGGTCCTGCTGATGTTGCGGCGCACAGAGAAGAGTGTAAGTGATCGGACGTTGGGCGAGTCAGGTCGGGCATGATCGGACACGTCCAGTCGTGACCGGAACCTTACTGGAAGTGACCGGACGCTGGGGTCCTGTGTCCGGTCGTACACTGTAGAGCGTCCGGTCACAACTTAAGTGCACTGATGACCGTTGAGATCGGGCGATCAGCATTTGAAGCAGGGACCACGTGGCATGCATCGCATGATCGAACGCTGGGGTCCTGCGTCCGGTCGATCTAACCGGTGCGTCCGGTCCCCCCGATTTTTTAGTGAACAGAGAGCCAACGACTCTATTCGTGGGGTCTCTCTATTTAAGCCCATGGCCGGCTCAAGCTCACTCTCTTGACCATTTGCATTGACATAGCAACCATGTGAGCTTAGCCAAAGCCCTCCTATTTATCTCCATCATTGATCCATCATCTTTGTGAGATTGGAAGTAAATCCAAGTGCATTGCTTGAGTGTTTACATCTAGAGGCACTTGGTGTTCGTGTTTCGCTGCGGGATTCGCTTGTTACTCTTGGTGGTTGCCGCCACCTAGATGGCTTGGAGCAGCGAGGATCGTCGAGCGGAGGTTGATGATTGTCTCCGGCTCTGATCGTGGTGATTGTGAGGGGTTCTTGACATTTTCCCAGCGGAGAGCCAAAAGGTACTCTACTAAATTGCTCATGGCTTGTGTGATCCTCATCTTATGTTGCTTGTGCGACACCCTATTGAGGGTTTGGCGTGTGATGCTAATTAGCACGTGAACCTCCAAGTGAGTGAATCGCCACAATGAGGACTAGGCTGCCGGCAAGCAAGTGAACCTCGGTAAAAAATCATTGTGTCATCATTTGATTCCGAGGTGATTGGTCTTCATTGGTATTCACTCTTGTGAATGATTGGTTCATTCCTTAACTCGGTGGTATAATCAACTTGCACTCTCTTTACATTACCGCAAACTAGTTGTCAAGCTCTTTAATGTAGCTAGTCGTGAGAGCTTGTTAGTTTGGTTAGCGTGGCTCTTCAATTAGCCTTTGAGAGCACACTAACTTAATGTAGTGACAGCCATTGTGTGGATAGAGACTATATAAACTAGAATTATGGTAGGTGACTTGCAATTTTAGTAGGCTAGCGCAACACTTGCTTTGCCTCATATTTGTCTAACCGGTTTGCTAAGTGTTGTTGTAGAAATTTCTAATAGGCTATTCACCCTACCTCTAGCCATTAGGACCTTTCACCAGCTTTGCCACCGCGTAGCGCCGCCGTTGGCGCACCATTTTTCAATCGAGCATGCCAACAGCTTCGCATTTCTCTATGCTACAATCTCCACCCCCTTTGCCAAGCCCTTCAAGTCTAGGTAAGGGCGCATTGTCGTTTCTGCCACCGGTGGTCACACCGGAGCGCCGCCGAGCTCCAAGCTCGTCGTGGCCAACGCTAGATCAAGCTTTTTCATTCTTTCTCGATCTAACCGGTGCGTCCGGTCACCCCGATTTTTTAGTGAACAGAGAACCAACGCCACTACTCGTGGGGGCTCTTTATTTAAACCCCATGGCCAGCTCAAGCTCACTCTCTTGACCATTTGCAATGACATAGTAACCTTATGAGCTTAGCCAAAGCCCTCCCACTCATCTCCATCATTGATTCATCATCTTTGTGAGATTGGGAGTGAATCCAAGTGCATTGCTTGAGTGTTTACATCTAGGGGCAGTTGGTGTTCGTGTTTCGCTGCGGTATTCGCTCGTTACTCTTGGTCATTGCCGTTACCTAGATGGCTTGGAGCAGCGAGGATTGTCGAGTGGAGGTTGGTGATTGTCTCTGGCTCTGATCGTGGTGACTGTGAGGGGTTCTTGACCTTTCCCCGGCGGAGAGCCAAAAGGTACTCTAGTAAATTGCTCATGACTTGTGCGATCCTCATCTTGTGTTGGTTGTGCGGCATCCTATTGAGGGTTTAGCGTGTGATGCTAATTAGCACGTGCACCTCCAAGTGAGTGAATAGCCACAATGAGGACTGGCTTGCCGGCAAGCAAGTGAACCTCGATAAAAAATCATTGTGTCATCATTTGATTCCGAGTTTATTGGTCTTCATTGGTATTCACTCTTGTGAATGATTGGTCCATTCCTCAACTCGGTGGTATAATCAACTTGCTCTCTCTTTACATTACCGCAAACTAGTTGTCAAGCTCTTTAATGTAGCTAGTCGTGAGAGCTTGTTAGTTTGGTTAGCGTGGCTCTTCAATTAGCCTTTGAGAGCACACTAACTTAATGTAGTGACAGCCATTGTGTGGATAGAGACAATATAAACTAGAATTATGGTAGGTGACTTGCAATTTTAGTAGGCTAGCGCAACACTTGCTTTGCCTCATATTTGTCTAACCGGTTTGCTAAGTGTTGTTGTAGAAATTTCTAATAGGCTATTCACCCTACCTCTAGCCATTAGGACCTTTCACCAGCTTTGCCACCGCGTAGCGCCACCGTTGCCGCACCTTTTTTCAATCGAGCGTGCCAACAGCTTCGCCTTCCTCTGCGCTACAATCTCCACGCCCTTTGCTAAGCCCTTCAAGTCTAGGTAAGGGCGCATTGCCGTTTCCACCACCGGTGGTCACGCCGGAGCATCGCCGAGCTCCAAGCTCATCATGGCCAACGCAAGATCGAGCTTTTTCATTCTTTCTCGATCTAGCCGGTGTGTCCGATCGCCCCGATTTTTTAGTGAACAGAGAGCCAGT